AGCACCAATGAAACACACAACTTTCCTCTAGTTCTTTAATGCTCCCCCCCACCCACTATCATGGCCCCAATTCTACCTTACAAATCCAGCTAGACCAGAAGAAGTACACTGGTACAGGTAAGAGCTGGAAACATAGGGAATCCAGGGCAGATAAACCCCTCAGGACCAATAATGATAGTAGTGATACCAGGAGGGTAAGGGGAAGGTGTGGAAGAAATGGGGAACTGATCACAATGATCTACATATAACCCCCTCCCTGGGGGACGGACAACAGAAAAGTGGGTGAAGGGAGACATCAGACTGTGTAAGATATGAAAAAATAATAATCTATAAATTATCAAGGTTTGCAAGGGAAGGAGGGTGGGGCAGGGAAGGGAACATTATGAGGAGCTGATATCAAAGGCTCAAGTAGAAAGAATGTTTTTGAGAATGATGATGGCAGCAAATACATAAATGTGCTTAACAAAATGAATTTATGTAGGATTCCCATAAGAGTTGTATGAGCCCCCAATAAAATGATTTAAAAAAAAAAAAAGCATGTGAGCCACTATTTAAGGTGCATTAACTGGTTTCTCCTTGTCCAATACAATGGGTAAAGGAAATTGAAACTGTGTGGTGTGGTGTATTGGAACTCAAATTTCTGAGAACTAAGTTTGCTAGGGTCTATAATGGAAGCCCTAAATCCATTTGTGCTAGACAGGGTTCTCTAGAGAAACAAAACCAGGACACTTATGATTTTAGATAGATGGATACAACATAAGAAACATCTAATCAGTCCACAGAGCAGTACAAATGGCTCAGTTCAACTCAGTTCCATGAGACAGTTAATACACTGGCAGTCCTTCAACTCATGAGGGCTGCTGGGTGCAAGCAAGGAAGCAGACAGCCGAGTCTTCTGTAGAGCAATACAGGCAGTCTGGCCACGGGCAGCCAACAGCAGGGCAGGTCATCAACAGTCAACCAGATGACAGGGTTCAATAGTCCCCAGCTCAAGTGATGTATACACCAGCAGTGTGGCGAAGCAGGTCTGGAAGGAAGCGCAAACTATAGCGACACAGTTCACGGGTTGGGTGTCCCACAGGTAGTGTCACTCGCAAGTTGAGGCAGAGAACTTAAGGTAGCTGCACACTGGTCCAATCGTTAGAGAGCAGGAGACAGAAAGGTGAGGCTCTCCAAGCCATTTATCTCTTTACTCTTCAATTAAATTGCAACCTTATTAACCCCACATGTGTTTATTGGCCAGGTTGGCAAAATAATCTTACCTATCACAATATTTATGGGTCTTCACATGGATTTAACCATCACTAAATTCCTTCTGACCATTGAATAGCATCGTGAATGGCTTTGTACTCAGGCAGAGTGGATTGACGAAAGGAAAAGTGACTGGACTGGGTGTGCCCTTAATGGAATTAGAGGCATTGGGGTCTCATGGTCATGAGTCACATCCTGATTGCCTTGAGGGGAGAGCTGTGAGTCAGTCTTATACATTTTATAAGCTATTTTAACAGAATATGTGCCCAATTGATGGTCCCATTCCCAATTCTGTAGTCCCACCTCTAACTGTGATATATTGATTGACCACCAGTCATGCTTTTGTGACAATTTCCATTGCCCTCTAGTGTCCTTTTAAAGTCTCTGCATCTCTGCAAACCCTTGGATGCCATTGCACCCTCCTGCTAATGGTCTGCCACATCCAGATGACCTGCGTCTTTGTGTTGTCTTTTCCTGTTTAAGATGTAATATACGTTCTCCTTAAGTTATATCTGAGAGTTGAGGTCTCATTTTTAGCCTAAAATAGTCCAATGGACAGATGGACCATGCAACCCTCGGCTTCCCTGAGACCAGAAGAACTAGATGGTGTCCAGCTACACTCCCAACAACTCTGAAAATGGTCACATTAGAAGGTGCTGGCTAGAGTGGGAGGAAAATGTGGAATAAAATGCAAAATCATAAAAACAGTCAGGTTCCTGGTTGGAGAGAGACTGGTGGAACGCCCAGATGCTGGCCCTTAGACACTCAAGCCTGGAAGGGAACTCACCCCTGTAGCTCAACTGTCGGTTAGCAATAGTCAGGGCTAGAAGGAGAATAATATTTACACTAGGGAGTTACCTATTCCTTAGAACAATCAGCCATTTGAGATCCAAAGGGCAGCATTTGCTGCAGGACAATGTTCGGAAGGCAGGAAGGGGTGGGAAAGAACGAGGATGGGGACAGGAAGCATAGGAAGTGGGATGAGCAATGCTACATGGAGGGCATTACCATCAATGACATCAAACATGTAGGGGTTGTTTGTTGGTGTTAGCTCTGACTCACCGCCACCCTGTGCACAGCACAAGGAACACTGCCTGGACCTGCAACTTCCTTCCAATTGTTAGGTTTGAACCTATTGCTAAAGCCACTCTGTCAATTGTTATTCCCCACCTCTATGGGAAATAGAAGGATTCCTCCCAAGTTGTCTCCCCCAAATATATGCCAAACTTCGCTGCTTGTGAATGACTCTACACTTGGAGGTCATCAGGAGTAGCCATCTAGAGCAAGCAGACACCACTGTTTATCCCACAACAAGTAGGGCCCACTCCCTTCTGATAAGGATAGTAGTTGTCTGTTTCCTTGTAGGAGACACCAGAGAGGTCAAACTCGCCCAAGGATGACCGAGGTTAGGCTGCCATCATGAATCTAGGGTCCACCCATCTTGTCACATGTGTACCCCTAGACCTTCCCATTCCTATGGGCACACCCCTAGCTCATCCCTTTCCTGTTAGGCTTATGCCTATCATACATCCCCTTCCTACAATGTGTATGCCTATTGTACTGCCCCTTCCTGTGACGTGTGATTACCTGCAATCATGTCCCCCTAATGAGATATAACCCTTGGTTAGCAATAAAGAAGAGGCTCTCCCCGGTCCTCGCTCCCGGGGGCTCTCCTGCTCTCGCTCTGAGGCTCTCTCCTGCTCTCGTGACCGAGCTCCCCGCACGAGGACCACGAAACGGGGCTGAGGTGAGCATGCTACCATGAATTGTGTCTGACTCCATTTTTCCAATCTCTCCTCTACCTCTCAAGCTATGACTTTACTATAATCTTTACTTATCGCTGTACAATTGCACCTACCGGACCTGTGATGATTCGTGGGGGACCCCTCCTCACCCCCTACCCCACAACACATAGCCACACAAAGGGAACATCCAAAAGATCGGGTGGGAGGGGGCACAGGGGATAATGAGATTTTTCCACAAGCTTTTTGAAGCCCTTGGTCTGTGTCTGTATGTATAAAGGCTGTCTGAAGGAAAACCAAAACAATTCCAGCCCATTAAAGTCCTTTTCTGAAGGGCCGGCCCACTTGGAAGAGTCTTTCCCACAATCCCTATTGACTCATCAAAGTAGGGGCCCCAAGTTAGTCCCATGTGACCTAAGGTAGCTGAGGTAAGTGGAATTCTCAGTAACTCCTTCGAGGGAGGAAGTTTAAATTATCAGGTCAATTAGGAAAGATACAACCGAAAAATCCCAATTTCATTCACACTTCAAGGAGGTGTTCTCTGGCTGGGCGCCACTTTTATTATTCTTGGCCTGGGCGGCTGAGAGCCCCACAGACTCAGCGGAGGTACAATGTGATCTTTGATTCTCATTTCAAGGATCAAAGCGAGTGGATTTGGTGTAAATGCAGATAACATTTCAGAGCCCGTTTCATGAAAGGAGTCACTAGACCAGGGCAGAAAGGGAGCGGCTGTGTTTCGTGTGTTTGCCTGGAAGAGTGTCATTTTCCAGTGAATTCCACAGCTCAAGGCCCCAGTGACTTCTGGCTTGAATCCAGGCACCTCAACTCATGGGGCACAGGGTCCCCCTGGGTTTGAGGCAAGCACCCCCTCCCGGCTCTTGTCCAGGCACCAGCGAGATAAGGCCTTCACTTTTCCAATTCTCAGGTGCTGGCTGTGCACGACGCTGCCTCAGGGCGGCAGGCCTGGGCTGGGCTCAGCCCTCTGAGGGGGCCTTTGCAGCCTGCCCTCATCGTCTTCCCCAGGTCTATCCACACACCCACGACGGGAAAACCCACACTTCTTACCAACTTACCATCGGTCCCTGCCCGCCAGCCCCTCGGCACCGGTGGAGGGTACTTGTGGCCAGGTGGGCTGGACCTAGCTAGGGAGGCCTTGCTATAGATCCTTTCCCTGACGGTCTCAGAGCCCCGGAAGTGCTGGCATTCAGCATCCCTCTTGATGCCCTGTAGCCACTCGCCCCCTTTCAGTGTCTCCAATTGAGGTTTCAAAGGGCCACAGTCCCCAGCTGATTCCCACCGTCTGTTAATTCCGCAGCCCTAAAGCAGCCCGGGGCCACTCTCCAGACAGCGCCTGCGGAGGAACCTGGGACTCAAGGTTCAGGGCAGGATGGAGATAAAAGTGTGGGTGGTGAGCTGGCAGCCCAGAGCCCAGAGCCCAGCCTTTTGCGCCTGCGCACGCGGGGCCGGTTGCCCCCGAAGCACTATGAGCAGTGCCTAGAGAGACCCGCGTTCCCATCACCCCCCGCGCCGTGCGGTTTAGCGGGCCGAGTCCCAGAGCGCCTGCGTCCTCCGTCCGGAAGACGCAGGCGCGGCCGAGAAGCGCGCGCCCTGGCTAGGAGGCCAACGCGGGGGAGGGGGCGTGCGACGGGGGCGTGGCTGGTGCTCGCGCGAAGACGTAGGCACGGCCGCGCGCACGCTGGGGGTGCGACAGCTTAACGTTGCTGGGCTCTGGGATCTGAGCTGCTCCGCGTGGGTATCGCGGACTGCTGCTGGAGGGTCTGTGGGGCCGCGGAGTCCGGTAGTCGGCGGTGCAGGGAGAGTCCCTTCGCTGTCCGCACTCCCCTGGCCGCGGAGAGGTTCCTGGGCGCCCTGCCGGCTGGCGGGCCTCGATTTCCCGGCCCGCGTTCGCGCGCCGTTCCCCGTGCCCCGGAGGGTCATGCTGGCGCTCCCCTCACGGCTCCACTCACTACACTTTCTAGGTGGCGCGGAGACTGGCCCTCGGAGGGAGGCCCCAGCTCGCGTTCGCAGACGGCAGCGCCGCGGAGTCTCTTGGCGGCGATTTGGGGTGGCTGCAGGTAGGTGGGCGCAGAGGGGCTTGTGAGCTCATCTCCCTAGCTTTCCTGCGTGGCGATTGCGGGGGTACAGCGATTAGCCTTCATCTTGTTGTGAGGTTTTGGGTGCTGCCGTTGACTTTGCACTCAAACCTGCCTGCGCCGCCACCGTACCTGCTCTGCCTCTTCATAGAGGTCTGTCTAGTTCCAGAGAAGGGCCTTGATTCCACAATACCAGGCAAGGAGGAACTGAAAAACCTCAAAACCAAACTCACTGCCATCGAGTTGATTTCGACTCATAGTGACTCTATAGGACAAAGTAGAACTGCCTTGTGGATTTCCAAAACTGCAACTTTTTACGGAAGTAAGTGCTTCATTTTTCTCCAGCAGCGCAGCAGGTGGTTTTGAACTGCTGACCTTGGGGTTAGCAGCCCAAGGTGTAACCCACTGCCCACCAGGGCTCAGGCAAGGATCAGGGAGGGAAGAAGTGGTGTGGAGTGGACCAAAGACTGAGTCAGACCCAGGAAAGCTCAGGTGGATCCCAGCTGGCTGGGGTTGGGGGGTGGGGGAGGGGAGGAAAGCTTCCTCCACCTCCAGGCTGCAGGGAGCCTTAGCACTGCCCTGTGTGGCAGCTGGCAAGTGACCTCACCACCCTGCCTTACTAATCATGACCCTGGCCCTAGCCTGGCCAGGGTGCTCTTGGTATCAGGCCCCAATTGAATCCTTAGGGACCTGTTGATTGTCCTCTTCTCCTTAAGGAGTCTCGGTGGCTTGCTGCGGCCAGTGCTCGGCTGCTGACCCAAAAGGTCTATGATTCGAACCCATCTGCAGCTCCTCAGAGAACAGACTGGGTGATGTGTTCCTGTAAAGCTGGCTGCCTGGGACATCCTGCCTGGCAACTTCCCTCTGCCCTATAGGGTCCTTATGACCTGAGGTTTCCTGCTGTCTGGAGCAGGGTAGGAGGTGTGCTTCCAGGGAAACACCTGCCGATCCTGCCTCCTGGGATTGACAGCATCTGCCATACTCTTAGGAACCCTGGTGGTTAATCATCAGGCTTCTAGATCAAGGGTCAGCGGTTTGAACCCACCAGCGGGAGAGAAATGTGATCGTCTGCTTCCGTGAAGGTTGACAGTCTGGGTGACCCGGAGGAACATGAGTTGGAATGGGCTCTGACAGGGTTTGGTTATTGTTGTCAGTCACTAGGCTTTGTGTCGTACTGTTGGACATTGGGTGGCTCTGAGTTGGACATGCCCTGACAGCAGTTGGCTGGGCTGGGTTTGGGCATCATGGGCAGGTCCACTCCGTTCCCTTGGTGCCAGGGGCTTGTTTGCTTGCCAGTTCTCCGTTGGCCCTGTGGGGATGGCTGGGCCTCGCCCTGTTCTTCCCCACCTTGTTTTTGGACAGATTACCTTGGATGATGACTTGCCTCTGACAGTCCCATCAGCTCCTCTCCGCTCTCCTGAGGGCCCAGCTGTCAGCACCTGGTCCTCACTGCGCCTGGAGCAGCTTGGGTTTGCCACACCCTGCTCGCCCTGCTCCAGTCCACCAAGTCATTTGTTTCTCCTGCTCCCCTTGTGTGGCTGCCCCTCCCACCAACTGCCCTCCCCCCACTGCCCCCACCTAGCCCTGCTCCCCTTCCTTCTCCTCCTAGTCCATGTGACAACTCCCAGGATGCCTGGGGGCTGGAGCTCTCAGCAGGGTCCTTGTCTTCTTATCCAGATGGCAACCAATTATGCCAGTGTGCACCCTTGACAACTGGTGAGCCTGGCCTCTGTTGGGGACCCCCCATGGACCCTTGAATGGAGCAGCCCTGCTGCAAGGACCAGCCACAGAGCAGAGAGTGGGGCTGTCAGCCCCCTGGTGGGGAGCCCTTTGAGAGGGTGCCCTAACTCTGGGTGCCAGCCCTGACTGGTGATGTGGGACTGCTTTCCCGTCCAGCTGTGCAGTTCCTTGGTCTTCCACTTCAAGGACCACCAGGGTGGCCTCAGCTATGTCTGGGAGAGCTTGACATTGGATAGCCGGTGTGGACACCCCCTACCTCAAGGACTTGCCCCTGCCTGCCCATTATGAGCCCTTCTGCCAGGGCACACAGGGCTCTGGCCCTGACCCTGAACCCTAACCTCAAGCCAGCTGTTAGGGGTCCTGCACTATCCCAGGTTGAGGTAGGACTGGGCTCCCTTCTTGGAAGCCCTGGAGTCAACACCATTCCTCCCCCAGGGCCTGTCCCCCTCATTCCAGCCACCCCCCTGTTTGTAGCTCTAACTCCGTATCAGGAAGTACTCTGCCTGAGCAGCAACTAGCTGAGCCTGTTCTTTTGGGGTCCACCTCTTAGCCTGTCCCTGCCCTGCCAGAATCAGCTAAGCTCCTTGCCCAGAATCCAGACCTGGCGTGTCCTGGGAGGTCCAACATCTCTGAAGGTGGAAGAGGCTTCTGGCAAGAGGAGATCAGGAGACATCCTTTAGGGTCCCTCATGGTATCTACTGGTTCTAAACCAGCTGGCTCAGAATTGGCACTGGCCCCTGGTGAGAAGGTACACTTGGTGCACTTGTCTGAACACAAACACTTCTCCTGCACCTGTGCCCTGTCTCAGACCTCCCCATCAGCCTCAGAGGCCACCTTCCACCGGTTTTTGGTGGCATCTCACCTAGGCAGTCTTCTGGTTGGATAGGCTTCTTCAGCTAAATCCCATCAGGTAATTGGCCAAGTCCCTGCTCCCTGCAGATGGAGCCCCCTCTTAACTCCTTGGTAGCACAAATGGTTAAGCATTGACTACAAACCCAAATGTTGGCAGTCTGAACCCACCAGCCTCTGTAGGAGAGAGATGAGGCTGCCTTACCTTGTCCTATAGGCGCCACTTGGCAGGCAGTGGTTACTTTTTTCATTGTTAACAGGCAGCCTCAAGGTACCTGTTTGAGACCCTCTCTGGCTTTTCTGCCCCTGGCCCCCAGCCCCCTAGTATCAGGGTCTCCTTTTGTTCTCTTGGCTGGAATTGAAGGAAGGCAGGGAGGAAAAGTGGCCCCGAAGTACAGACTAGTTGGGAAGACTCAGGGCAGGAAGGTGGGGTACAAACCCCTTCTTTCCCAGCAAGTGCTCATTCCTTCTGTGCACTCAGCAACCTGAGGCTGGGGTAGGTGGGGAGTGAGGGATGGGCATTAAACGGCTCAGTGCTTGGCATGTGCTGAGCTCCCTGCACTTTGTATCCAGCAGTCCCCACTCGACCCAGGCACTTGCCTGTAGATTGCTGTATCTGCACTGATAGCCCAGCCCGTCAGTGCCCTGGTCTCTGGTCTGGAGCAGCATCATGCTGTTGGTACCCAGTCGGCACTCATTAAATGTGTGCATTGAGTCATTGATGGAGCATAGTGTAGTTTCCTCGGCAACAAAACTACCTTGCTGCCAGCATCCACAGTCAGGGTGGGTCTGGTGGGGCCTTCGCTCAAGGTCTTGGGAAAGGAGTTGAAGCTAAGTAGGTGTGACAGGGAGCTTGGCAGGCAAAGGGTGACTTTGAGAACTGGCTTGAAATGAGGAGCAGGCAGGATGGGAATGAAGGAACCTACTCCCTACCCAATGGGAGTGTTTATAGCTAAACACCCTCAAGCCCAGTATAACGCAGGCCTGGGTGTGTGTCTGGGGGTGGTATTGTGGGGGTGGGGGTACATTCTGACCCATACAGTGCAGGGCTTCTACCCTGGGAGAATTTCCCAACTCTCCATTTCCCCACCGTACAGACAAATAGACCACAAAAAAGAAAAGTCTTTCTGGAAAATAAGAAAAACTACAAGGGAGGTGGCCTGGAAATAAAACTAGTTATTTTGGGGGAAAAACAAGATTAAACAAATGTCTGTTAGAATTTGTTTTGTTGTAAAGAAAATAATTTGTTGGGATGATTGGTAACTGTCAAAATGGCTCTGGACTCCCATGGTTTTATGTGTGAGTTCCTGCAGGACACAGATGCCTGGTGATTAAAACTTGCAGATCTCCAAAATAGGTGGGAAACCCTTCTTAAGAAATTAAATCATTGATGGCAAAACAACCCAACTATAAGATAACAAAGCTACGTGCAGTCTTGGTTTCGATCAACTGCGGGCAATCCTGAAGTTCTGCCCCTGCCCCAGCCCCAGAGCAGGTGCAGCCCCCATTATCACTCAGGGTTGTTTGTGACTAGAGTGAAGATTTGCTGAGCAAATCCACTCTCCTTTCACTAATTCAGAAAAAAATTACATTACTTCCTCTCTGTATTTCCTGTTTCCATTTCTTATCCTTTCCTAACCCTTTGCGCAACCAGGACAGACTGTTTCCCCTGGCTCTCTTGGTAGCCCTTGGACTCGATGGGGTAAATGTCTCTCTGTTGCCCACTCGACATCCCCCTCTATCTTGTGGACCTCTACCTAGGCTGCCTCTCCCCTTTCATTTTTCTCTTTCTCACCAGATCAACAGATCCCTGGTAGTGCCATGGGTTAAGTATTGGGCTGGTTGCTGAAAGGTCAGCCATTCAAATCCATCAGCAGATTCAAGGGAGAAAGTTAAGGCTGGCTGCTTCTGTGGAGATTGGCAGTCTCACAAACCCTGGTGGATGGCCCTGTTCTGTCTCAGAGGGTCGCAATACATTGGCATTGACTCCACAGCAATGGGTTTTAGACCAAACCAAACCAAATTCACTGCCCTGGAGTCAGTGCCGACTCACAGCAACTCTCGAGGCCAAGGTCGAACTGCCCTGTGGGAAGAAAGCCTTTTTCTTCCATGGAGCAGCTGGAAGCTGCTGACCCTGTCGGTCACCGCCCAATTCATATTCATAACTACCACATCACAGGGCTCCCTCTCTGTCTTTTTAATGAACCTAGAATATTTGAGGATAGAGGAGAGGGATGGCATGACCCTGGCCTGCCTTCCACACTGGAAGTACACGTAGTGGTGGAGAATGATGGCTTGTTTCTGATCTGCTGTGCTTCTCGGTCTTCTAGCAGGCGGTGACCCAGCTGCTTGCCCATTCCTCCGGGGAGGGACCCTTAGACCATTTGCCACAT